GGTACATGGACTGCCACTTGTGCTAAACTTTGTCAGGTCATCATCAAGGCCTCTTTTGGTAGAGGTAAGAGATGAAATATAGACACTTGAGGGGCAGATGTTTTTGTTATTCGAGTTCAAGTTGATGTACTATGTTTATACTCAGACTAGTAATTCAAATTTACATGAAGCTTTAGTAAAAGAAAATGCTTTTTATGAGGCATGCCACAAACGAGCTCTTACCAGAACTTCATATGGATTAGAATCCTGGGAATCCAAACTCGCATATTTTTTCCCATAAGAGTTTTAATATTCAAAAAATCCATAAACTGTTGTAATAACATCAAATATTCATGTTTAATCAGAAAGCAAAATTCATATTTAATCAGAAAACAAAACTCATCCACCACATCGTGCATGCAAGTAATATACATAGTAGTACGTTGAGCTAAGATGTCTAGCTAATCAAGGCGTGGGGTTTTAACTTGGTAATATAGTAGTATTGCTTGGTGAACAGTGGTTGTTGGTGAACACTCTTGAGCCTAGAAGTGGATAGCACATACAGTTTGATGAGGTGGGTGAGGTTCCTCAGCTCTTCCGGGATGGGGCCAGCCGCGTCCAGCGAGTTTATCTTCCTGCTCCACCCAACCAAGAGCAAATTGTTCATCCTCTCCAACTGACCAGCCGAGCCGTCGGCAATACAGCAGACGAGAAAAATATGGAACGGATGGCGAGAGAGGAAGGGCTAGCTTACAGTCTGGTGACGTGGCAGAGGGTGCCGTTCTGGTCGGTGCAGTCGCACTTGATGGCCGGGTTGAAGTTGGGGTTGTCGTCCAGCGGCGTGTCGTCCGTGGCGGCGCCGCTGCAGGGGTTGCCGCTGATGTTCCACGACGCCGGCGCCGACAGCCCCAGCTTCCCCAGTATCGCGTTCACCGCCGCCGCTGCATCCCACCCCGCCAAGACACCGACCATTAACAGAGCTTAACAACCAGAGAAGAGAAGAGCAGTGAATGCGCGCCACTACTAATCCACTGCATACCTTCGGTCGGGTCGGTCTGCGACGGCGGTGGCGGCGGAGCCTGAGCCTGAGCGGCCGCCCTCCAGGAAGAAGATAGGGCTGTAAGGAGCAGCGGCAAGAGGAGCACGGAGCCATGGCGGAGGCACGAGCTCCACCTTGGACTCGGAGGACCCATCTCCCTCCCCTCCTCCCCGTCAGATTGCAGTCCTACTGCCTACTGGAAGAAGAGGCGATGGATGAGAACAATAAAGCAGGCATCCGCTGGAGAAGGAGAATAGAGATATACTCAGAGGAGCTGTGGGAGGAAACATGCAGCCAAGTCCAAGTGGGTACTGGGCGATTGTTTTTTTATGGGGGTGGCGGCCCCTACTCACTCTAGTACTGCAGCACTCCTACTATACTCCTACGCCGATCAAGCTGCATGCACCTGCTCCTACAACAGTGCCGCCAAAAGAAGAGTGAGTTATTGGTACTAGCAGTATTTTTTGCTGTTGTTATCTGGTGTGTTGCTGAATTTTATAGATGAATGCATAAATGCGCGGTGCCCGAATGGAATAGTCTGTTCTCTCAGATGGCTGGCTTGGACCGGGACCAAGAGGCGTGACAAGAACAGTTTTTTTTTTTTTTGCGAGTGATGACAAGAACAGATTGAGCTCACATGAATGAATTCAGTAGAGGCTCATCGTGCTTGCAATTGCTTGTCATTGTCCTGAATTTACATTATTTTTTCTGCTCCTTGATGGTTGTAGCGCAAGTGGGAATATACTGCATGGATCCACATGCACACGGAGCAGGTGGCGAAGCAAATCAGTAGTTGGAATTTCGCATGGACGTTTTATTAAGTTAAGTGAATATGGTGGCAGTTGGGGCATTTCGTAGGATTGGAAGCCGGCTAACACCATCTCGTACGTTAGGTGTGTATTTACATCTCTGTCGAGGGTAATTAATAAGTAGCTTGGTTTGTTAGCGTGGTCGGTCCCTCTCTCTTTGGTTGTCGTGTGCCAACCTCGGCGTGATGCCTGAACATCAGGCATGGATCTTACCATGTTAATCAGGTTGAAGAGAGAGAAAGCATCGACGTTAACCACGAACATCATATCATAATACCAAAAAGCTGCCACCTTGATGAAGGTGGGGGGGGGGGGTGATGTAGCACTCAACTTGCCCAAATTTAAAAATGGTACCTATTTGCTAATTTTAAATGACCACATGGTTTTTAAATAACATAATGACCTTCAACTTTATCAAGCCGATCCAGACATGTTACCCAACCCAAGACCCAAATGCAATGAACCAGCCAATGCCCAAGGCCGAAGCAACCACCTTAATGCGCTGATATGACTTTGGGCACATCACTCCACCAAGAATTAACGGTCAAGATTCGAGATGACATCTGAAACAACAAGTATATAACTTTCTTCCACCGGACAAAGTTGCAGGAAAATGTTGACGGAGCAACGTCATCAACGCCGCGTCACTGATGTGCACGTTGTTCAGCTTTCAGCTACCGGCGATTTCCCGGAAAGAAAAACCGAAAGAGAGTCAAGCAAGAGACCAAGCGAATCTCTGAAGTGGATACCACCAATTAGTACCAGGTAGCCATCGACCACCTGCTTATGGTCTGGTCTGAAAGCCAGAAATAAAATGCGCTGTCATAAAGGAAATCGCAAAAGTCCAATATCGCCACGACTGGACAGACATTCTTGATTCTTCGCAAGCAAGCACGTGGGCAAGAAGAGGCCACGAACCTTCCTCGAGCTCCCAAAGTTCAAAGTCCAAGCCGAAAATTATTGCAAATCGTACGCGCGTCCAACGAGACCAAAGAATTCAGAGCTTCACCTACACGAGTACACATACAACTTTTACTCATCCTACATACCACCACTGTACAGTTCAATACAATGCCAAAAAAAAAAAACTGCCTGTATCGACACCATCCGTAAGATGCATGCATTCTCAACAAATCTGTAGCGCGAGAGGTCGATCGACATCAACGGGTCGAACTGTATCAGCGGCCTTCGTCGATGACGGAGCTCAGGAACGGCGAGGAGGTTTGGGACGTCGACGAGTGGGGCCTTGGCGCCGAGCTCGATTGCCCACTGACGTCGGTGCTCATGTAGGTGGTGTTGCCGCCCTTGATCTGCCATTCCGTGATGTAGCTCGGCTTGGTCACCACGTCGGGCGCCTCGACGTCGCCCGTCAGCATCGCCACCACCCTCGACATGGGGGGGCGCTGGTGGGGCGAGCCCTGGGTGCAGAGCAGCGCCACCTTGATGGCCCGGAGCACCTCATCGCTGTCGAACTCCTCCAGCCTCGGGTCCACCACGTCCAGCGGGTGGTTGTCCTCGTACAGCTCCCACACCTGAAAACATTCAGGTGATGTTTTATTCAAGGAAATCAGTTTTTCCTGTTTTCGTAACTTGTTGCAGGAGACCACTAGCGCACAGAGGGCATCAGTGAGCTTACCCATTCGAAAATATAAACCTTGTTCTCGTCCTTTGTACTGTAGTTTGGTCTTCCAGCTAAAGTCTCCAATACCACGACCCCGAATGCAAACACGTCGATCTTCTCTGTCATATGGCCTCTCATGGCATACTCAGGTGCAAGATAACCACTTCAAGAAGCAGACAGCAAACGCCATCAGCATACATATGAAAATACTACGTAGACATAGGGTCGGAAAGGTGGAAATGCACTTACAATGTACCAGCAACTTTCGTGCTCACATGTGTCTTCTGGTCATCATAAAGTTTAGCCAGCCCGAAATCCGAGATCTTAGGATTGAGATTAGCATCAAGTAAGATATTGCTGGCCTTGATGTCCCTGTGCACAACACGGATGCTAGATTCTTCATGAAGGTAGGACAGACCTCTTGCAACGCCTAAGCATATCTCAAAACGCGTTGGCCAGTCTAGGCTTGACTTCCCTTTGCCTGCAAATGTAGGTTTAAGTTTTTAGTTCTTTATACTAAGCGCGAATCTGCAGATATGTAGCTCCATCAATCAAAAGAAGTTGTACCAAACAGAGCATGGTCCAGGCTTCCATTCTCCAGGTACTCATAAACCAGCAGTGGCTTATTGCCCTCAAGGCAGCAACCATACAACTTCACGAGATTACGGTGTTGCACTCGAGATATAGTTTCTATTTCAGTTGCAAATTCCCTTTTTCCCTGATGAGATTTTTCAGACAGCTGCTTCACTGCCACAAACCTACCATCAGTTAACTTTCCCTGCAAAAAGGCGACATTTTTCACCAATAAAAGTTTCAGGTGTCGCATTGCCAAACATAAATTGCTCCAGATACGCTGAAATAAACACCCTCTCTTCATTTTCGAAAGTTATTGACAAGTATGTGAAGAAATAGAGATACAAAAAATAATCTGTAGAGGCAGATCTGTCTTCTGATGTTTCCGTGTACTACTAGCTTATCTAAAGTTATTTCCAGAACGATAACTTTACAGAAAATCCAAGACTGAAATGTATGGGATGAACCAACCTTATAAACCGACCCATATCCTCCTTGACCAAGAAGGTTATCAGGACTGAAATTATCAGTAGCTGACCTCAGCTCACCATAACTGAGGACATTAGGTCTTCCCACAATACTGTACAGCTCTGCAAGACATCACAAAAGATACAATAAGCTTACTTCGACTACTCCTTTGCTCAGTTAGAATGCAATGTGGTCCTAGTATATCTCATACCTTCTTGCTCCAATGATAGTTTTCTCTTTTTCTGCCTCCAAACAAAGATCGCGGCAAATGCTACCAATCCTAAAACTGCTAGACCAACTATAACTCCGACAATCACGCCTGTTTTACTACCATTCTTCTTTGCCGCAGCATTACGCACTGTAGGGGTGAAATCTGATAAAAAGTTCACTTGTTAGAAACATGTGATGTCAACAAGTCAGTATATTTCAAGTGAAGTTAAATGAAAGGTCCGACTATGTGCAAACTGGTTGGTGTATTACATCTTAAATGTCAGGTGATACATGTATTAGGTATTTCACTTCTCTAAAAATTTCTTACTGAAATTTAACTCCAGACCTATCATCCCTGAGTAGTTTGTTTAGTATATTTGATTTACTAGTTCTCTTGTGAATGTCTAACAAATGTAATAGGTAATACAGTAGTGGCAATAGACTAATTGATATTTCTACGAAGCCTCTCATTTATTTTGATGAACAATATCCAAATGTTTTAGTTTGAGCAAAGCCTGACTAGATGCGTTTCCACATTCCATGGTACTGAAAGTATAATAATTAGAACTTCTATAGCAGTTACAAGTACATCAAGGACTAAATGAAATATGTACAGATCAACCCTCATTTTCATATTGACGCTCTAGTATTTCCCTTTGCTATTATTTCAAGCTGCACAGGATTACATTCAGCATAACTTAGTATGTATTTCTGCCAAGTTAATCTGGAGAATATATGGTAGTCAGTATTAAAACCATTATTTCAAGTCAAGGAAAGTACTTGGTGTTGCACTCAAAGCTGAGATCGCAGGCCCGTAGTAGCCTTGAGTAGGAATGCAGCAAGTGCCCTTGCCAGCCCAGAAGAGATGAATCTCAAGAAAGTTCTTCGTGACAGGAACAATGTACTGCTTCCTAACAGCAGTGTAAGATTTCCCGCCTGCCGTCTTCCTTATGTCAAAGTTCTGTTCTTTACGCACACCCTATACCAACAAAATCAAGAATAAAATAATATTGGGCAGGTTATAAGCTAATAGTATTGGTTATCACTTATAAGGGGGACAGGAACCTACCTGAACATATATATCGAAAACCCTTCTCCCTGTGCTCTTCCAAGACTGACCGTCTGGGAAGTCAAACTCTGCAAATTGTAGTGTAACTGTATAATTTCCATTTTCAAGTCCAATGCCAAAGTATCTTAAGGATGACGGTGACATCCTTGCATTCCGGAACAGTTCTGTATCGAGTGTATTCAGAAACTGGCGTGAACTGTAGATTATATAACTGCCATTTTGTGCATCCATGAACCTTCCAACATTGCTAACACCCCATGTTTGTGCTCCTGTAATATAAAATGACGCAGGTCCAAGACTTGCATCATCAGATTCGTAGAAAGAATTATCTGAGCCTGATACGGGTCGCCTACTACCAGAGTCCACAGCAAATGAAGAAGCTGCAGGAAGATTAAATTATTTAATACCGGTACTAGTTTAGTAAAGCTGCAGTAGCAGGCTTATAGTTCTTCAAGTAGGCATGTGCTTAAATTTTCAAAAGGCAGTAGTCTCACAGTGTGGCAAACCAAGAAAACATGGTGTATTACGCTGAAGGCACCCCCACCCCGTAGGTAAGACACTGCAAATGTAACAGAGTGACACTTTGAACCCAAAATAAAAGCCAAAAGAATCTACTAATTATACTTAAGATGTTGAGGACATATTGAATATGGCCGAACCTGTTGCTGGAACTATCAGCCACGAAATTATTTGTCACCAGATTCCTAAGTAGAAGGAAATTAGACAAAAAATCAGAATGCATTGTTCGTACTTCATAGCATATTAGGGCTTCTTTGCAATAGTTTAAATAAGAAAAGTTAATTTATGCATAAATTTTGAGCTCGTCTGTAGGACTAATGTCTCCTTCCACACACAGTAGGAGCCATAGGCATCTTAAACAATTTTATAAATACTTGTAAGATAAATGCACCAAAACAGTCTATCAGATTTATCAAATATGATTCTAGCTTATTTCATCTGTACACTATAAACCTAGCAAGTAAGCTCAGGTTCCTAACCTAGACCAAACGTGCCCTTAATTGGGCTATATTTAGTTGAGAAAAAAAGGAAAGTTTCAGAATTTGGAACTTACAATTGTGAATCTTTAGCCCAAGAAGGAACAGTTCCTGAGAGCTGGTTGTAAGAAAAATCTCTGTACAAAGTAAAAATATGAAAGAACCATTAGAGATTAAATAAACACCTTCCTTCATTTATTGTGTAAATAAAATTAACCACGTTACGTACAAATTTTTAAGCGAAGATCCTATTGAGCTTGGGAGATTTCCTGAAAGGCTATTATTCCCAAGAAATCTAGTCACAACAAAATTTACAAACATTAGCTACAAGAATGATGAAAGCCTTCATTTCATAGAAATATGCTTGCAAGTCAAGATAGTCCATACAAGAAGTTTAGTAACTTCAGATTCAACAAGGTTTGTGGTACTTGGCCTGTGATATTGTTGAAACTCAAATCCCTGTAACAAAAAAAAAGCGAAAAGGAAGGATGTCATCAGCCAATATATAATGGCCTTGCACGAAAGGAATTTGGCTCTAGTTTATTGTGGAAATAAAATGCTTACAGTAAGTTTAAACTCGTCAACTTTGAAAAGTCAATCGATGAAAGCTTATCAGATATCCTACAGTTCCTCAAAACTCTGCAAAAAAAAAACATGTTGCATGTTTTAGACGTGACGAACCTGACGAGTTACATCAAATTGGGACTCTAATCTGAGACATTAAGTGAATAACAAGTTATGCATACAAGGTGCTCAAAGATGTCATGTTATTGACGAATGCCAGTGAAGAAGAACTCCCATTTAATATATCACCGATTCGTCTGCACCATAGAAGTAGATTATTAACTGTCCCTGCTGCAACCTTGACATTTAAGAATGACATTTAGCTCTTATCACCGGCAGTAGGCACTTACAAGCTTGTCAATTGGGCAAGATTGGAAAGAGTAGCTGGAATCGGACCTTCGAAAGAATTGCCTTGAAACCTCCTACAATGTCATAGTTCTAGTTAGTCACTTCAAGCACCCTTTGTTGACGGATGTAGCAACCTAGTAGTGAAAGAAAGGACATCTCTATTCTTTGGAAAACAAAAGAATGTGAACATATTTATCTAGAAGTACAACTTACTCCCTCTGTTCCGAATTACTCGTCGCAGAAATGAATGTATCTAGATGTATTTTAGTTCTAGATACATCCATTTCTGCGACGAGTAATTTGGAACGGAGGGAGTACTTCTGAAGAAACGACAGAGTATTCAAAGTGATTCAATGCTTACTCATCACCTTATCGGAAACTAGCACTCATCTAAGCTTTAACTTTTGAAATGACTCTCCCACTTCCACACCAATTTATGTTTTTCAAAGCTAAAGCTTGGCTTGTAGCCTTGTAGGTAATGGAAGCAAACCGCACAAATATTCTCTGAAAACTTTCCCGAAGAAACAAATATTCTTTGGAATTGTGTAAATAACGTATTCATAGTACTTGCTGTGTTTATATTTTTAGAGAAATGCTATAACTGAGATCACTGGCAATCTTACAGCTCTGTTAAACTCCAGCTCCCAATATAATCTGGTATCTGGCCAGTAAAATCATTATCTGATGCCCACCTAAACAAAGAGCAGAAAAGTACAATAAGATATGATAGTGTGAAACGCCTATAATGTCAACAACGCATCAAATATAGGCATACAATATTTTCATTTTCGTAAGCCTGGAAAGTGACGCTGGTAGTGGGCCGCTAAGGCCAGCACTGTCGATGTACCTGTAAGTGATAAATACAAAAACAGCACAAATTAGACATTGAGATGACACTAGTCCAAGCAAAAAAAAAAATTGCTTGGCAGAAGGAAAATGGAGTGCCAGAATTCAGTAAATACGTACATTTGTTCAAGTTTGACCAGGTTTCCCAACTCCAAAGGTAGTGAGCCATTGAATTTGTTTGAGCCAATGCCCCTAAAAGTACAACAAGAATTTCAGATTAGACATGCGAACTTGACAACTACTATAATCT